CACACACACACACACACACACACACACACACACACACACACACACACACACACACACACACACATGTAAACACACACACACACACACACACACATGTACACGTACAAAAACATATGAGGATATGGTTTAACGTGTCCGGGGTGCTGCAGATTTACACGGCTCTATTTTTCCTGTACGGGGAGGAGTTGAACAGTCTGATGTCCTGAGGGACAAAGGACTTCCTGAACCTGTCCATGGAGCAGGGCTGGGACAGCAGTCTACCCTGGAGGAGCTCCTCTGCTTCATGATGGCACCGTGCAGATGATGGTCACCATTGTCCATGATGGACAGCAGCTTACTGAGGGCCCTTTTGTCTGCCAGCGATGTCAGGGACTCCAGCTCAGTTCCCAGCACAGAACCAGCTTTCCTCACCAGCCTGTCCAGTTTCCCAGCATCTCTCCTCTTAGTGCTGCCTCTCCAACACACAACAGCACAGAAGAGGACACTGGCTACCACAGGCTGGTAGAACATCAGCAGTAGTTTCCTGCAGATACGGAAGGACCCAAGCCTCCTCAGGAAGTAGAGCCTGCTCTGACCCTTCCTGTAGAGGGAGTCCGTGTTCACTGACCAGTCCAGCCTGTCATCCAGTTGTATGCCCAGATGTTTGTAGGTTCTGAACACATCCATATCGGCCCATCAGTTGAGACTGGCTTCATGGTTTGCAGTGAAGGTGGAGGGACTGTGAGTGTTCGTCTCCTCAGACAGGAGGGATGTAAACTCCAGGATGGATGAAGGCATCTGAGACACAATCTGTTTTTCACCTGAAGAAAAACCAGACTTTTGGTTTGGTTCTGACTTTGGATTTGTTCTGACCCGACCACGGAGTGGCTTCTGCTCCCAGTCGGTAAAACCAGTCATCCATCACCGCGAGGCTTGTGAGGTTCAGGAGGAAAACTCTCTGAGTGGACGCGGGTTCAAGAGGTTCTTCTGAGCAGCTGTTAGCTCGGAGTGACACCTCAAACTGCGAGCTCTGAGAAAGGTCAGTTCATGAGTGTGTGTGTGTGTGTGTGTGTGTGTGTGTGTGTGAGGGGGGTTGGGATTCTGAACATCAGCCGAAGCTGAATCCAGATCTCTGGCTACAACAGTCTCCTCGTTTGTTAGGCCGAACATGCCTCCACCTGAAACCTTTAGTCTGATGGACCAGCGACATGTCCAGGACTGGAGACATGTCCAGGGTGTCCCCTCCTCTCACACTGTGGGGGACCACTGCACAGACCCACGGGTACAGGAAGTTGATGGACGTTTTTGTGTGGTGGTGGTTCTGTGGAGCGAGGAGACGTTTCTGTCTTCAGAACCTGAGAGGACGTCTCCGTCTGAGACCTGCTGATGATTAGCAGCTCCAGCAGGAGCCAAGAGTCTGGAGGGAGGCTGGAAAAGATCTGGAGAGCATTGAGCAACATTCAGGATGAAGAAGGAAAGAACTCCTCCTCCTCCTCCTCCTCCTCCTCCTCCTCCTCCTCCTCCTCCTCCTCCTCCTCGTGAATCATGCAGGATCTGACGCAGCAGCTGGACGGAGCGTCTCTCCGTCCTGCAGCAGAGAGCCAGATGTTTCAGATTCTTCTGCTCCGTCCAGCCCCGTCCTTCAGAGACGAAGACTGAAGCTGTTTGAGGGAGCAGATGGAACACTTTGCTTCCTTGTGTCCACCTGACGTCACGTTCTCTGGTCTGGTACGAAACACTTGAAGCTTTATGGTGTGTGTGGAAGACAACACAGAGGAGCTGATGTGGAAGATGCAGAAACAATAAATCTGATTAAGAGTTATTTGTATTGAAGACACGTTTGCTCCAACTGGTTGAAGACAGACTGGTCCTGTAAAACCTGCAAAGAGGAAAACCTCCTGACCGCGTGTGATTGGCTGGTTGTAGAACAAAGACACAGATCAGAGTAAGAACATCAAAGCAACACTTCAGATCTGTTAAAGCTTTAATTTCGGCTGACATTCGGCTACTGTTCTCCAGGAGCATCTCGGTAACTCCACTAACCAAATGTGTTCGTCCGTTGCTCCGTGAGGCACTTTGGATTCATCCTGTATGACGTGATGAAGTTCACTCTTCATGTAGATAAAATCAGAATGTTTGTCAGCAGCAGTCTCATCTGTCCGTCTCTTCGATCCTTCTGTCCTCAGACTGAATTATTAAAAACATCCCAACACACAACGATGTAGAACATAACCATCCAGATGGGTCTGGGTTCCTCCTGATGGCTGGAGTTCTGTTTGGGTTTCTTGTCGGCCTTCAGGAAGGCCCAGTTAGGATGTCCACGTTTAACCATTTTTTAACCCATTTTGTCCTCGGGCTGGTTCGGTGAGCAGTAAGCGGTCGTTCTGCTGATTGTTTCAGGCTGATGGTCCTCCAGGTTGCATGTGTAAGACCAGGCTGGACGGGAACTCTGCAGTCAACTGGTTCGAAACACACAAACAAGGCGCTGCTTAATGCGACGGCTTCAGATGAAGGACGAAACGCTTTCTTTCAAAAAGAAAGTGTGCAGACGACATGATGTAACTCTTTTGAGATGTCCACATTGCTCCAGGGCCAGTCTTGCATGTGTCGGGATATTCTCATGTTGACCTTTAATTTGTAACTAATCTCTGAATGTGACGCAGATAAAACGGAGAACGCCGACATGGACTCAGTCTGACCCTCTCAGTCAAGAAGAGACCTCGAGCATCAGACTCGACCTGATCGCAGCCGCAGGCTCACCTTACGCTAATTATCTTGTACTCTCCTTTTTCTCATGAAAATGATCTGTTCCAGGATTTTTATTGAGGATTAAATTTAGCTGATAGGATGGATTGTGATCAAATTGTTAGCTAAGATAAATAAAACCTGCTGACGAGGAGCAAACCGTTACAAATGAGTGGAACTGCCGAGTCTTTAATTTGGTCCAGAAGTTGTTCTAATGTGTATTTTTGTTTTGGGAAAATGTTTGTTTCTTTAAGAATAATTTGAGACCTGAAAACTGAGGACAACGCAGGTGTTTTTATGTTTTTATTATTATTATTTTTGTAAATATTGACTAAGACCGGCCCCCGGCTGGGACCAGGATTTGAAATGTGGTTCAGTTTCATGTCGGGTCCAAACGAAGTGATTCATTTTAAAGAATGTTGTTTGGGTCTGACTGGACGCAGTCGTGTTCTTCATGTTCCGCTGCGCCTGAGCACCTCAAAACAATGACCATCAGCAGACTCTAATCTAATCTAATCTAATCTGATAAATTATTAATCTAAACCAGGGGTGCCGTCGATCTCGATCTACCAGTCGATCTCAAAGGTATTCTGGGTAGATCTCATGTCATTAAAAACAGACGTCAGCCGATCGTACATCTATGACATCTGTCTCTTGATTGACAGACAGGGCAGCCAGTCTGAGGCCTCGTTCACACGACGTGAAGCGTTCGTTCATTTACAGACGACAGACCAAAGGTTTCTGAACCAGGGCTCAGAGTTTCAGGGGAACCCCCCACGGAGGAGTGAGATTCTCCAAGTGAGAAGTGGCACATGCACACTACAGGCGGCTGCAGTCCAAAGTTTCTCTGCTCTAACAACCGTTATAATAAATAACAACAGTTATAATAAATAACAACAGTTATAATAAATAACAGTTAGTTATAATAAATAACAACAGTTATAATAAATAACAGTTATAATAAA